GAGCGAGGAAGAGGGAAGCAGAGGAGGAGCGGGAGGCCCGACAGGCAGAGGTACGATCCCGCTCCGCCGCAGGCGTGCTCTCTCGCACCCGCGGGGCGGGCTTCGCCAGGCGCGGCCGCTGCAGGCTGACGGGCTCCCGCGCGCGCGGCGCGGACGAGAGAGGGGTCGGACAAGGAGGGGGGGGGGAAGGAAACCTCCTCCACATCCCCATCCCTCGCCCGACTCTCCTCCTCCTCCTCCTCATCCTCCTCCTCCTCCTCCTCCTCCTCCTCCACCTCTTCCTTCTTCTCCTCCTCCTCCTCTTCCTCCTAATCCTCCTTAAGACGAAGCCAGGGCGAGGATAAATCCGGGTGAGGGTACATCGAGGACATCTGGGATCCGGCGGCTCTGGAGGACGTCTCGGGCGCCGCGGCCTTCTCAGGGCGTCCCGGCACCCTCCAAGAGCGTCCCGGAGCGTGCCTGAGCGCTCTGCACATGACTTGCCCGCGTCCTGGTCCCGTCCGGCTCCTCCTCCTCCCGAGCGGCCGCCGCGTGGGCAAAAAAAAACGGAGAGGAGGGGTGCGCTGTGCAGTGGAGCAGGTGGAGGCGGGCCGAGAGGCAGCCCTTGCGGTGCAGCAGGGGGGCCGCGGCGCGCCCTCCCGGATCCCAAGAGGTGTGCCGAGGAGCGCCCCCCCCTGGAGAGACGAGCGCCTGGTGGAGTTGCCGTTTCGGCGAGAGGGGCCCGTCTCGGAAGAGACAGGCGGCCAGATGGTGAACTTCAGGCGGGCGTCCAGCAAGAGCTTGGCGGCGCGCAAAAGGGTGGAGGGAGGGGGGAAGGCTTCTTAGAAAGAGGCTGCTTCTTAGAGGGCGCCGGTCTTACATCTATTGATAAGGACCGCGCCTTCTAAGAAGCAGGGGTGCTTCTAAGAAGCCCTCCCCCCTCCCCCCACCCCCCTCTGCGCGTGGCTGAAGAGCCTCGTTTCGAGCATTGGATTGCACACCGTCCGTAGCGGTGTCACAGTTCCACGCTCCCGGCCAGAGAGCACTGCGGTATCTCATCAGGTAGCCGTTTGGGACAAATCAAGGAGACGCCCTGCATACACCATGCACGTGGTCGTTGTTCCACACATGTGTAGGCCTGCTCGTAATACGTAACGTGCGAGATCAGAGACCAGCATACACAAGTATATATATATATATATATATATATATATATATATATATATGGTGATATAGAGGGGTACACATCTGCACCCACACTCATACACATAATAAAGCCAGGGAGAAAGAAAGAGAACGAGAGAGAGAGAGAGAACAAAGAGAGAGAGAGAGCGGGAACAACAAAAACATAGCAAGAGGGAGAGAGAGAGAGAGAATAACAAATAACAAACGACACACGCACACACATCCATACTTGAAATATGTTCGGTCATCCTTCCGTGTGTACGACGCGCCAAGTCATAACCTGGTGGACAAGCTTGGGCACCCAGCTCAATCCAAAACCCCACTGCGGAAAAGAACTGCCGCCCCATCGGCTCGCTTCTTAGAGTTGTTTCCGGCGACCGGTGCGCGGCTCCGAGGCCAGAGCCTCATGTTGCAACCGACGCACCCTCCGCCCGCGTAGCTCTTGGAGGCTCTCGACAAGACGAAATTGCGCACCGCTGGAGCGAGAGACGCAGTCTGGAAACCATCTTGCATTCGCCCTCCCCCGAGCTTCAGGATGCCTGGCCCGCCCCACTGGCGCGACTGGTGATGCACGAGCAGCAGCTGCTTCTGGAGACGAGGGCTGGAAGGAGGGGGGGGCGAGGAGGAGCAGCGAGGGTGAAGGGACGCCGGCTGGCAGCAATCAAGCAAGACGGCGAGGTGGCGGATGGCTGGCGTCAGGAGAGAAGTTGGATACGCAGGGGGGGGAATGGAAGGAAACGGATGGGATTCCAGGATTCTGGGTTGGGCTCGCGCGCGCCCGGGAGGGCGGCCGAGAGGAGCAAAGCGGCAGCCACTGACACGACGGCGACGGCGAACGGCGACGGCGAGGACGATGGCGACAGACGGACGAGCGCAGCGACGACGGACGACGACGGCAGGAGGAGGAGGATAAGGCGGAGGCGGGGGCAGGATAGGAAGAGGCTGTGCGGAAAACGCTCTCGTAGGGCCGCGCCGGGGCGGACGATGGGTGCCAGGCTGGCTGACGGAGCAGTGGGGGATACGCACGGGGCAGCGAGGAGGAGGGCAATTGGACAAGCTGGAGCAGACAGGGCAGGCAGGGGGCGAAGGCGACGTGCAGAAGCGAATGTGGAGGAGGGCACGAGGAGAGAGAACGGGCAAGGAGGCCAAGGGGAAGCGAAGACTAAGGCTGCACGGGGTCTCTCTCTCTCTACCCCCCTCACCCTCCCCCCTCTCCTCTCACGCACATCGCCTACATCCGTCTTCCTGATGCTCCTCCTCCCCCATCCACCTCCTCACTCCGCTGCTGGTCCTTCTTCTCCTCCCCCCACTGCTGCTCCGACGCCTCCTCCCCCTGCCCGTCCCCCTGCTGCT